TCAAGCTGGATTGTCTTCTTGCCCTACATTATCTGCAAAAACGGAAATTCAGCATGCCAATCAATGCATTTATTCTTTGACAGATTTCCTGTTGCTTTTGATGGGTGTGCATAGTTAGAACAAATCTGAACAAATTCACAAAGGAGTTTGGAGTAGGCTCCAAATTGCCTTAAATTGTGTTGGCTGTACTTGGGATGAGGAGAACTGAAATGTAACCCATATTTATTATTGGAGTCAACTGTTAGATATGGAATACATAAAGCAAAGTGAGCTATAGACACAATACTTTAATTTTCTTCATTTTAGCTCTCCATAGATGTTGCTACTAAAACATCATGAATAAATTCACTTGGTCTTCCCAACTAGCAGAGTCTTTGTGAAGCTTTTTAAATTTTTTTAGAAGTTGTGGCTGATTAGTACATAAAATGTATTTTAATAACCTGTTTGTTGTTTTGAGGGGGCATAAATTCTACGTCAGTGAGTTAGAAGACAAGGCAGCATTTTCTGTATTCAGCGGGTGAAATCTAAACAAAAATGGTAGTAAGTTTCTAGCATGAAAAATTTAGTTTGCAATGTGAAATCTGTCAAATACATCTGTTATAGTCCTGGTCATGTCGCTCAGTGGTCTGAGGTTCAGGGTGAAGGAAGTCTCACAAGTATTTCTTTTGCAACAGCTGCAAAATTTAATTTTTATCATTAGGAAGCATATCAGTAGTTTGGAAGCACATTAACTGGAAATCAGTTCTGAATAGTTCTGTATAGTTGAAAATAAGTGGAAAATATGATCTTCTTCAGCTGTTCCTGTGACATTTTTTTAGGAGGTTATATGAAGAACAATCATTCATCAGTCTTTCAGGGGGTCAACAAAACAGTCAGGGATTAGAGTGACATGGAGGACATTTATTAAGGTACCTTCCTCTCCCTCCTTCCCCCCTCTCCAATCTACCAGTGCAAAAAGCACAGTTTAGGATCCTCAGCAGCAATGAAGAATCTCCATTACAGTAGACAGGAACTGTAAAAGCTCATGTGTTCATGCTAGGTCTTTTAATTCTAGTAGAGATAAAATATGGAGAAAGAAACTTAGGATGGAAGTTGGAGAACTGCTATCCAATAAGATGCTTGAGGATAGGCAGAAATTAGTGTTTTGTATCTGCAGCCATAGCAAGCTTTACATCATCCATAATAACATGTAGGTTCAGTTTGTACTTAACAGAAGCCTACACCCATTAAAGTTCATGGAAAAACCCTCTAATTACGATAGAAATAAGAACAGGTCAGTGTACAAAAAGCACATCTTGTAATGTACTTTATTGTGAACTCCTGCAGTTCCAATCAAAGACCTGCAGTTTGTACAATTTTGTGTTTGTTCGAAGATGAGATGTGTAAGTTATAATTGCTTTAGGGCTGTGGCATTTAATTCTTCCCACTGAAATGCACAGGAGGAAATTAAGTCTAAAAGAGAAGACTTTTAAAAATAATACAGTAAAATAAAACTTTCTAAATTTTCCATTTTGATGTTCAGCTGTACGAGTTGCAAATTCACTTTTATTTTAAAGGCTTCAGTTTAATATCGGAGGAGGGAAAAATATATATAGGTATTATACGTAGGGGGAAATAGGAGGTGAGAGAGTTTAGATTGTGTCTTCTACACAAGTTTATGTTGAAAACAGTAGTACAGAAATAACTTCTGTTTAGAGTCCAGTTACATGCTATAATCAGACTTGACCAGTTGTATGCTGAAGTGCCTAAATGCTTAATTTGAATGCAATTGGATTCTAGACACCTTAAAGGTAAGAATTAGCCTGCTTATTCTGTAGCTCCACCCAACCCTAAAGCTGCTTCATTTGAGGCCTCAGAGATCTTATATTGAGTTAAAATTTGCTTTCCTGGAAGATGCTCCGAGCTGCAAAGTGTGAGCAGATAGGCACCTGTTACTGCCGTGGTTCCATTGTAGAATAAGGGACAGGTATGCATTAAATATCCTTATAGGGACCTCGTCTATTAGGCATATTCAGGAACCACCTAATGCCTGCTGGAAGGATTGCTTACTTTATTTAGAGCGCAGCATTTTCATTAAAAAAAAAAAAAAGCCGGGGAGTTGGCAAAAAAAAAAAAAAAAAGCAGGGGAGCAAAGACATCTCTGAGTCTCTCATGTCATTGTGTTGGTTCCTTGCTTAAAATACAGGAGCAGTGAATGACTATGAAAAGGTGCATTGTCCAAATCTCTGTAGAAGGTCTGTGGTTAATGGGAAGAGGCATTCCTCGCTTAGGTCCATTAAAAAGTTCCTCACAAAATTCTGTCTTTCACCATGGTTGAAGGGAGCCCACCTCCCTAATACAAGAAATCTTGAGTCACTTTGCCAAAGCCAGACATCTGTGTTAGCTGAGATGGATGTTCAAAGTATATGGCTGCAATCCGTTTTTTGATTAAACTGCAAAATGGTCAAGAAAACCATGAAGACATCGTCCAGAAAGAGGAGCTCTTTATAATGAAATTAGATTACTAATATCGAAAGTTAGCCGTTGTAGTGCAGATATATTGCAGCTGAAATTGGCCGTTGGACAGGGGACTTTGGTGTGAGCTGATGACCAATCAACCAAAATGGAAGTTAAGCTAAATGTAAGCTTTGCTCAGGTCCTCGGTGCAGCTGTGAATGTAATTCCTTTAGTAACTCACAGCCGAGCGGAAACAAGCGTTCCTGTTTTGTTTCAGTCGGTTTCACCTTTTAACAGCTATTTGCTCTAGGGGTTGCAAGCAGGTCAGAGAATTATTTATACAATCTGAAGAAAAAAAAAAACAACCAACTGAAAACAGAAGACAAAAGTCATTATTAATAATGATAACTTGATTACTGTCACTTACAGCTGGGGCCAGAATCGTACATCTCTGTGAAGCTGTTAGTAATTGCAAGCCCATATTCCAGAGTGTGTATTTTATCAGTGTAAGTAGGGTAGCAGTGCAATGGTAGGGATGGCCACTTAAGTTTGTTTGTTTGTTTAGTAGAAAGTATTGTTTACCTCTCATATAACACTTTATGGGAAACAAGAAAAATTTGTTAAAGTTTTGCGCTGCTAGAAATGACAAGGAACATCAAAGGTAAATAATTTAATTTACTTCATTCCTTCCCCTCGATGTTGGAAAATGGCCAACGGTATATAGGCCTATGGTATATAGGCCTTTGGGAATTACCCTGGGAACTTATTTTAATAACAAAGTAATTTTGGGAAACACAATTATTGTTTTTAAAGTAGCATCAGTGTTTAAGCTCCTCACTGATTCCAAATGAATACTTGCCCTTAGAAATTGCTGGTAAAGTATGAGTCTATGTAAGTACATGGAATTCATTAACACACCTCTGTTCCTAGTTCAGTGAGTACATATATACTACCAATGCAACTCCTATGTCCTATAATTTAAAACATTACTGAAACCATAAGCAGTATGAAGAACTCAATAGTTTTGTACTTAAAGGTAATTATGCATATACTTTTTTTTCCTAATGACTATAATTAATGATTATAATTATCATTTTCAGTCAGCAGAGTTGATTTGTTAAACTGTGTTAATCATTTTTGTCCTGTCCTCCCCTTCCCCCCTCCCCTTTTGGCAAATCATTGCTGTAAAGCAATCATTGCTGGGCCCCATGAAATTCCAGAGCATTTTTTCATTCTGCTGGGTTTTTATCCTCCATTGTTCAGTTGCGTGTAAACTGAATCCAGCCTGGTGTGAAATCGTGAGTAGCATGGGCTCACTGATAGCTTGAACCACAGGAATGTGGAGAAGAATGAAAAATTCAGATGTGAATGTGAACTGCAAAGCAGTATTAGTGGTAATATTTCTCCCTTTTTATGCAAAGGTCTGCAATACTGCAACAAGCAGTAAACTACAGTAGTCTAGTATTAAGTTGATTGTATTCAACTGTCTTAATTACAATACCTTTTTTATTTTTTTATTTTTTTATTTTTTCCTGCAGATTAAAGAATGGCTCTGTTTAAACTGCCAGATGCAAAGAGCATTAGGTGGTGACCTAGCACCTGTTCAGGGGCCTGGGCCACAGCCACTACCACCCAAACAGAAGACACCCATTCCACCTTCAGCAGCTAAACCATCCCCCCCGCTGCAGCCGGTTCAAAAGAAAGATGCTTCTCCAAAACCTGATCCTTCTCAGCCAGCAGAATCTAAAAAGCCCCTACCACAGAAAAAGCAACCATCCATGTCTGGGTCTCCCCCTGTAAAATCAAAACAACCCCGTGCTGAGCCTACTGAGATCTCCCAGGAAAAGGATCCTGCAAAGTCTGATCAGGCTAAGCCAACAGAGGTTGAAGATAAGCAAAAACAACCCAGTATACAGAAGCCTGCGACTGATACTGTGCCTACCTCTGCAGCACCAGGGCCGAAACAGGATTCAGCAGGTTCCAGACCTCCATCAGCTCAACAGAAAGTGGCAGACTCCCAAAAACCAGAACTTGCCAAGCCATCACAAGATGCTCATCTGGCTGGGGATAAACCAGTTTCCAAACCGCTACCGCAAGTGTCTCGACAAAAATCGGATCCCAAGCTTGTTTCTCATCCTGGGCCTAGATCAGATGCTAAAACACAAAGACCTGTTGAGCCAACACAAATGAAAGAGGATTCTAAGAAATTACAAACAAAACCAACTCCAAAGCCTGATACCAAACCAGTTCCAAAAGGACCACAAGCAGGGGCAGGCCCCAAGCCTGTGCCAGCACAGCTGACACCTCAACCCCAACAGCCTCAGAAAACTCCAGAGCAACCAAGGCGTTTCAGCCTTAATCTAGGAGGTATCACCGATGCCCCTAAGCCTCAGCCTACAACACCACAAGAAACAGTTACTGGGAAACTTTTTGGTTTTGGAGCTTCAATCTTTAGCCAGGCCTCAAATTTAATTTCCACAGCAGGTCAGCCAGGGCCTCAGACATCAGGTCCTCCTCCACCCAGCCCTGCTGTGAAGCAACCCCAACCCCCATCACAGCTACCTGCCTCCCAGGCACCCCCCAAAGAGGCCAGTCAGACTCAGCCTCTTCCAAAATCTCTTCCTGTAAAGAAAGAAGCCAAGCCTCTTATGACAGAAAAATCGGAGCCAACAAAAGTGGATAGCGTTTTAACTACTAAGGGATCTGATTTAGAAAAGAAACCTAGTCTGGCTAAAGATAGCAAGCCTCAGGCTGCTGAAGCTAAAAAACCTGCTGGGCTATCAGAGCCGGAAAAGGCCAGCCAACCAGAAGTATCTTGTCCCCTTTGTAAAACTGGACTAAATATTGGTTCTAAGGATCCTCCTAACTTTAATACATGTACAGAATGCAAGAAGGTAGTGTGCAATCTCTGTGGATTTAACCCGATGCCCCACATAGCTGAGGTAAGGCAATGTAATTTGTATTTATTTACCCTGTATTCATACCATCAGGTTTCCTGTACTGTGGAGGCCAGTCTGTATTTCAGCCATCAGATTATCATGAGAAATTTGAATGCTTTATCTGAGGGATTTTAAAGTTAAATATTTGTGTTGTGTGAAACTTAGTCACAGACAGAAAATACTTCCAATATGGGTGGGGTTTTTTGTTTTTTGTTTGGTTTTTTGTTTTTTCAGATTAAAGGAGTCTAGTACAGCTGGTTGCTGGGTTTTTGAGGCATAAGCAAATAGCTAATTATGTTTATGGAATCTTTCAAAATTAGTTCTACTACAATACAGTGAACTACTGCACTTTCCAGTCTACCCTGAGATAAAATTCTCTTTCATAAGTTTCAGTATAGTACCCTTACATGTACTCTTCCTCCTTACCTGTGATTCAGGCAAATATTGAATGAAGGAATGTGTTTGCTAGTTTTTCCTCTCATCTACTGTTTAATACATCCCTACATTTATTTCATTAATTTCATTCTGGCTCTGGAATCTTTGTACATGTCAAGGCACTCACTAGAAGGGTTGAAGTTTGAGTGATGCCTGTGTGATACAGTATAAGTACAGAAAGTTCACAAAGCCATTTTGTTCATTAAAGGATATATATTTGAAGGTACCTTTTCCATGATTGCCCAAGAGAGATCAAGTGGGGCCAATCACGTTTAAAACAATTAGACAACTTATTTTCAACAATTTCCTCATACTCTACCATTTTACCCTCTATTTTCCTCACTGAAGTTTTGATAAAGAGCAAGGGGATTGGAAACTGCACAAACTTAAGAGAAAGGCAGAGACACACCTTAAATTCCTTAACAAATTGGCAAGTTTCGACTCAACAAAAGCAGATCATCTAAAAATACTTGTAAGTAATTTAAATGTGTAACTCAGTTTGCTCAGCACCTGAGAAAAGTAGCTGTCAGTGCTGGGTGTTTGGTATCTGAAAGAATAAATTAGAAATGGCTCCCTGGGTTAAAGGTGATCGCATCACTGCCCTGAGGTGAGTAGGAATGTAGGGAGAAATAGGAAGTTGCAGGAAGAAAATTGCTTATGTTGTGAGTATGTGTTTTTGTTATAGATTATTTTCTTAACTACAATATCACCCAAGCATTTGAAAGCATTTGTCCTACTATCATCGTCACTTTTTTATTTGATTATGAATATGCTGTTTAAGATCTTGGCAGTCCTTTAGAGTCGAAAAAGAAAGAGTTGAAAATACAGGAAGATTTATCAGTGACTGAAAAGTAGAAAGTTCTGTTGACTTTTAACGTTGCTTGTGCACTGAAATCCATCAAACATACAAATCCCTTCACCACTGTGCTTCTTCCTAACCCATGCACGCACACGCACACACACACACACACACACACATATTTAGGTTTTAAATGCAGGAAAGATATATATTCTATATGATTGTCTCTAGAGGCACTCAATTATGCTAACGCATGCTCATCAATTCTGGTGAAACACTGTGCTAAGATGACTGCTGCACAGTTCCTGGGGCATGAATTCACTGTTCAGAGCCGACTTAGGTGTCGCGATGTGGGAATGCATTGTGGTGCGCAGATTTATCCTTTCTCCATTTCTGTTTGAGATGAGAAGGCTCGTATTCTGTTTCCTTTCTCCCATCTCGTTATCAGAGGACTCTCTGTTAACAATTTTGAATATGCTGAACTTCAAATACTGGTGACTTTTTCTGTAGTCTGAGTTCCTCATGCCTTTCCTTGCCTCTTTCTTGTCTCTCTGTTGCATTTTCTTCTTTTTTATAACACACATTTCCATATCTGTGCAGTTTTCCATTTTATCTTCTCGTTTCCCATCATTTTTTCTTATGCTGGGCAAGCCAATCTTCCTTGAGAATAGGAGGTAGCTTGCTTGGCTGAGGACAGCCTGACTCTCATTTGAATAAAGATGGAAGACAGAAGAGGGAGCTCATCCTCTCCTCTCCCAAATAAGCTGTGTGAGTAACGTATTTAACCTGAGCTAGCAGTTCTGTCCCTGTATGCACGAATATAGTATACAGTAGTTCTTGTTATACAACAGGAACATGATGACAACTTTATGCTCGCTAACGTACTCTTTTATACGGCAAGCTGCTTTCTAATGCCTTTAGTGGAACGTTGGGAGTCTTTTTCGGAGGCTAGGAAGGAGGAATAGAAATGCTTTTTTGCAATTGGTCTTTGTTGTGCTCTTCTGCCCAATTCTTCTATTCTCTACATTCAAGAGTATAAAGAGAAGAAAAAACTGTTCTAAAAGCTTGTATTTCCCTTTCGGTCCCAGAAGGTGTTTTAGGTGAACAAGCATAGTGGGTGTTTTACAGTTCCGCTTTAGAGCTGCAGCTGTATTTCTAACAGGTGCTTATGTATTATCTCTAAATTGTTGCCTCAGTAACAGCTGAAAATGAGGTGAGGTCTTATGATCGAGTGGTGGTCCAAATCTTGGTGCTAACAAAGCCTGTAGTGAGCTATATGGTAAGAGTCAGTCCCGTGGAGCAGGGGAACCTGTGTTTCATTGACAAGTGCAGAGAACATCTGAACGCCCTGGACAGCACTGCCTTAAGAACTTGTACCAGGGAATATCTTCCAGGCAACATGCTGCTGTATTGCAGATAATGGCTGAGAGCACTTTAAAGGGAGAAAAGGGCTTTCTCCCAGTGACAGTTGTTTATTCTTGCCTGTATGTGACAGAACTAGCTTTTAAATCTTTTTTTTTTTTTTTTTTGTTATTTAAACCTCTCATAACCCCTCTTCTGCATGAAATAAGAGAACCAGACTTCTACTTGGGTCTAAATCAACAATATTCTATTTATTTCAGTGAATTTATGCTGATTTGTGCAAGCTGAGAATTGTGCCAGAATCTTTTTTTCCTAAAATGGGCTCATTGTTCGTTTTCCTCTCTGATTTGTTGATCCAACAGTCAAATAGTTTATTTGCTTAAATAGTTATTTACCCATGAAGCAAACAACCACAAGTGATTAAATAAATGGCACTTGATAGATTTCAAAGATCCCCAGGACCATGTGAACCCTAGTGCATTAGCACAGACTCCTCACGGTGCTGTTTGCTCGATAGGGAGGAGCGCTGTTTGCCGGCTCTGTAATTAGCTTCCCAGCTCAGGTAGTTGGAAGCGGCTCTATTTTTAGTAACCAAGCACAAGATCACAACTGCAGGAGCGAGGAACGAAGTGTGTGGCAACGACCATTTTGTGCATTAAAAACTCAGTGAAGCTGGTGAGAGAGCGCGGAGCGGGGTGCGGCGGGGGGGGGGCGGGGCGGGGCGGGTAGTGCAGCACCTGCGCCGAAGCAGCGGAGGAGCAGAATCTTAAAGAAGATGTTAAAAAAACCAAGCTCGTGAAAAGCTAAGAAGTAAAAATACCCAGCACCTGTATGGGCAAGAAGTAAGACTAACACATTGATAGCGTCACATCTTCTGAACAGAGAGAGCTCAACGTGTGATGTGCGTACGTGTGAGCGTGCTAATGGAGGCAATGTAAGAGAGCTGCCAAGGGAGCAGCAGAAGTGCTTTCTAGTGTAGTGATAGCTATAAAACTACCTGGAAAGGTACTTGGAAGTGAAAACTGTTCTGTGTGTGAAATAATTTCTTGGGGTTACAGTTAGGAGAGAATTGCCCTGAATGATGGAAGGGCAGGGAGGGCTGGAGAAGGGCAGGAAATGACATCGTCTCAGACTTGTAAGGGATTTTTTCTTTGAGAAGGATGTGATCAGCTAGAGGTGGGATCAGAATAGATGATATTAGCAATTTGATACAGAGAGTAATGCTTCTTATGTTTATTATAGAGAGTATCATCTGTGTGAATTTTTTTGACATAAGATGTATGCAGTAGCAGGCATAAGCAGGAGTTATATATAACTCCTCCTCTGTAAGCAGGAGTTCATAAAGCAGTGATCTGAGCATTCCTCTTCGTTCTGTATTGTACATGGTAGGTTTTAAAAATATGTATACCCACCAATAGAATTTGAATACTTTCCTGATAACTTATTTTATTACTGGCATTTATTAGACCAAAATAAATATTTTTTCTTCTCCGTAAACACTGGGGAGAGGGGAAAGCAACAAGACAAACTCATTTTCTAAATAAGCACAGCGTTATTAAACGCAGTAGCATAACTGACTTAAAAAAAAATGGTGCCTTGATTGCCTGATCAGTACTCCTTGAATTAACAGTAAGCAGTAAGCATTTTGGAATTGATGTAAGCCTCTCTGGAGAGAAGGAGAACTCTCTTGTCATGGCATTTGTCATATACCTGTATGCTTCTTGGTTTCTTGTACCTCTTCCTAAAGAAACGGAGAAAGGATGCTGCCACAGGTCAGCCCCTGATGTAAGTAACTGGCAGTTTCTGCTTTCTAAACTTTCGCTGATACCTAACTATAAATAGAGCAAGGTCCTCAGCAGGTGTGACCCATTGTGTTTAAATCGTATGGGAATTTATCCAGGCGTGAATAGTAGGCTTAAAAAAAATAAATAGAAATCTATCCTAAGTGAAATGAGCCCTCCAATTAAATGCCCAAATGTAGCTCAGGCTCCTTAAAGGAACTCTGCAGAGCGTTTTAAAGTGATGAGCCGTCCATGATTTGAATGAAAAACCCTACAATGGTGTACGGCATCATCTGAGATGACACCTGTTGCCTATTTTTAATTCAGTAATAACTCTGTACTGTCTTGTTTGCTTATTTGAGAAAGCTCAAACCATTCTGCAAGTTGGCAGATTTGACTCCTATTAGAAGTTCATGTCTCTTCTGTTGTGTTTAGTGGGGAGTTGTTTTCGAGACAGCTGGTGTCTGCGAAACACAGTGAAGAAGAATTTGCACTTAAAGTACAAAGGGAAAACTAACAACTGTTCCTCTCGGTTGCATAATTTGTCTGTTCTGCCTCTTCCCTTTCCCCTTATATTTAAAGCTCATCTTCAAAATTTTACTGTAAGAAAGTGAGCACTATTACTG